CAGCAGAACTATACCTCACCAGGAAATGTAACTAATTTTTTTGTGAGCATTACTATATTCAAATACAAAATATTATCAGAATTCTACAAATTTAAGTTGCCCTTTTGTGAGACATGTGAAACAGCTATATTTTTTATTTTTTGAATATCAAAATATTATATAACTTCTTAAGTTGAGGGAAGGTCTTTTACAGTGAAAAGGACAGTCTGTTACAGTGTATATTACCCTATAAAGGAAGGTATATTATAGTTATGGTACCCAATGTCTTATACCTGATGTCTTCTCCCAGGGACCCAGTTGCATGAAGCCAACCAGCAGCTGCAATTTGAAAATAATGCAGAAGACCTGCAGCGTTGGCTGGAGGAGGTGGAGTGGCAGGTCACCTCTGAAGATTATGGGAGAGGTCTGGCTGATGTGCAGAACAGACTCAGGAAACACGGCCTCCTGGAGTCTGCTGTGGCTGCTCGTCAGGTTCGTTGTTGGATCTTTGACTACTCATAAGCAATTGGTATACATGCTCTGAGCACATCCAGAATAAGTAATTATTATTGCTGAGAAAGCAAGAGAGCAAAGCATCAAAGGTAAAAATTCAAAATTTTTAGTCGATCTACTGCTTCTTCCTAATATCCCCCAATACAGCCAAGAGACCTCAGTGCCCAGTGTCATCTGTCAGAACTATGAGGCTGATATAAAATCTTATTGACTCTTCTAAATATAGTGCTCTTCTGTCAATCCAGAAATACGGGTTTTATATATAGCCTTGTCAAGTACTAGTTTTATGACCTTAGCTAGGTCATTTCACTTTTTCGTGCCTGTAAAATAAGTGTTTGGGAGAAAATTTATTTTTGCTGTTCTGATATTCTATGATTCGGAGCTTGAAAATATCTTGACTTTTATCATTTGTTTCAGTTGATATAGTTGTCCAGGCTCTTAGCTTCAGGGATATTTCCCCCAATGTCCTATAAGATTAGTATTTAAAATTAATTTATCCCATACATTTCTAGATCATGGATACTGTATGTGAGTTTTGGGAGAACTCAGCTGAAATTCACTTTCAGCTGACTCAATTTATAATACCAGGAATGCTAGCTTATACTGGGGGACCCCCCAAAAAACCCCAGAATTATTTATTAAAAATTGTGGATTTATTCTTTTTTTTTTTTTTGAGTTGGAGTTTCACTCTGTCGCCCAGACTGGAGTGCATTTGCCACTCCCGGCCACCGCAGCCTCGGCCTGCTGGGCTCCGGCGATCCTTCCGCCTCAGCCTTCAGAGTAGCTGGAATTACAGGCATGCGCCACCACGCCAGGCTAATTTTTTTATTTATTGTAGAGATCAGTTCTCGCTGCCCAGCGGGTCTCGAAACCATGGGCTCAGGGGATTTATTCTTACATGCTTAAACTTTAGTCACCTTTAAAGTGTTCTCCGTTTGATGCATTGCACCTATCAAGATACTTTTTTCATTGTTCAAAACGGTTTTCTAACTCAACGATTTTAATACTTTTTAGTGCTTCTGCCATTTTTTGTTTCACCTCTTCCACATCAGCAAAATGTTTCCCTTTGAGGACTTTTTTCATCTGGGAAAACAAACAACAACAACAAAAATTGCTCAGGGTGAGATTCAGTGAATAGGGATGGTGAGGTACAGGGTAATGCTGTTTTGGATCAGAAACTGCTGAATGCTCAGCCCGGTGTGGGCATGTGTGCTCATAAATCACCCATTATGAAATGGGCAAATGCATTGAAAGAATTATATATATAATTTTTTTTTTGAAAGAGAAGTCTGAATAGAAAGAAACAAATAACATACAAAAATTCCCAATATATTTTAAATCTGACACAGCAGAACTATACCTCTCCAGGAAATGTAACTAATTTTTTTTTGTGAGCATTACTATATTCAAATACAAATATTATCAGAATTCTACAAATTTATATTCTACAAATTTTATGTATATATAAAACTGAAGCCAAATAAAGCTTCTCACAATAATGCTAACTGGTGTACCAATGTCGATCAGTTCTTCTTTTTTTTTGAGTTGGAGTCTTACTCTGTCACCCAGACTGGAGTGTAGTGGCCGCTCCCAGCTACCGCAGCCTCGACCTGCTGGGCTCCGGCCATCCTTCCGCCTCAACCTTCCAAGTAGCCAGAATTACAGGCATGAGCTACCATGCCCAGCTGATTTTTTGATTTATTGTAGAGATGAAGTCTCGCTGCCCAGTTGGGTCTCGAACCTGTGGGCTCAGGCAATCCACTCACCTCAACCTCCCAAAGGCGTGGGATTATAGGATGAGCCACCGAGCCCGGCTTGATCAGTTCTTAAAACACTTACTTAGCAGAGGAAGCCTGTATTACTAAGGGCCTAACCTTCAAAAGAAAATTCTGGGGTCTTTCTGTGTCCTCCCTCGTATTTTAAAATAATTCTGCTGTTCCCTAGAAAAATCTACGAATCTCTTTTTAATACATGTATTTTTAAAATACATTTACATGTGTGTTTAAATACATGCTTTAAATTCATGTCTACTCTTTGTTCACTCTGAGTTAAATGGGAAAAACAGAAAAATCTACAGAAAATGGAAAAAAAGTCAATCATTTATATGACTTTAGGGATGGCTTGACAAGGCTTTAAATAAAGTAATAGCCTGAAGGTAGAAAAATCATAGAAAGATGACTTTGAAATCTATATGGAAGAAGACCATTTCAAAGGAGGAAAAAAATAAGATGGGTTTCATTTTTTTGCTTGCTTGTTTTAAAGTACACAAAAAAGGACATCTTGAAGAAAATGAACTGTGTGTGTAAACTCTTAAGAAATAGGAATGTGTGATATCATTTGGGAAAGTTAGGGTAGCTGATCACCAGGAATTGATTCTTCTAGTGGGATTAGAGGCTATTAAGATATAATGTTTTCAAAGGAAATTTTATATATAAAAATGTTAAAGTTGAAAAAGATCTTCAATATCCCCTAGCTTAAAGTTTTCATTATAAATATGAGGAAACTAAATAAAAGGCGAAAGAACTTTCCTGGGATTATATGGCAATGGATTGGCAGCCAAGAATAGATGCCAGATCTCTTACCTTCTTGGCTTGGGGCAACTTGTACTACATTAGAGGTTTTCAAAGAGTACAGTGGATCCACAAAGATGATTGTGCTTGAAAATCACTCTATTATTCTATGATGTTTTCCAAAGTGCCCTAAAATGTTGGCTAGTGAAACATTTTAATTATTTATGCAGTCTTTAATTTTTTATGAAGAAGTGAGCATATGTTTTTATGAAGTTATTGATAGTCATTTTTTTTTTCCAAATGGAGAAGAGAGAGATTTTTAGGCTAAGTGCTGAATGGCAAAGTATAAAAAGTAAAAGCAATGCCTGGTATTTTGTCTCTTGAACTACTCTTAATGTACCACCCCATCCCTAACAAACATCAAACAGAACAAGCAGACAAACAAAAATCCTGGGTACTATGTTTCTGCCGGGCCAGTTATAGTTTACTTCACTGATAAAAATTTAATGTACCTCTTGTATCTATTTTACCATATAGGTATACAACTAAATTTTTATTTCTAGGAAGAACCTTCAAAATCTCATATTTGTATCCCTCCTTTCTCAGACAGGACCCAAACGGGCATGACTAGATAGTGGTCAAAGCAGTGCCTTTACATTTCTCTTTCTTAGTTTTCTGATGTTTGTTTTTGTAACATCACATTTCCTCTCATAGGCATTGTTCCTGCTAGGCAACAAACATAAGCCTGAGAAATTTCCATTTATTTGCAGTTATACCTCATTTTAAAGAGAGAGAAAGAGTGTGGTAAAGGAACTGAGATATAAAATGGCTCCCACCTTTCTTTTGCGGGGAGAGGGAGGCCCAAATTACCAACACTACCAAACAATTTTAAAGCTCTGCAGTTCTGATTTTTCTGATTTTCACAGAGTATCATTCTAGATGTATATTGTCCTTTCTGAAACGCAATTGAGAACCTATAAATAGCCCTCAACTGAAGAGTTGATTCTCCTTGTGGCAGCCACTTCCATTCCATTTTACTGATTTAATGAGAGGTCTTAATACAGTTCAAATGAGAGTTGATTCTCCCACGTCCCCTTCCCCTCCACACCAAACTTTCATCACTTCCCACTAAATGAGGGGGTTTCCTGACAGCCATGTTATTTCTCCCTCAGGATCAGGTGGATACCCTCACAGACCTGGCTGCATATTTCGAAGAAACAGGCCATCCTGATGCTGGGGATATACGTGAAAGACAAGAGTCCTTGGTGTCCAGGTATGAAGCACTGAAAGAGCCGCTGGCCACCCGAAAGAAGAAGCTTATTGACCTACTCCGTCTGCAGCAGATCTGCAGAGATACAGAGGATGAGGAGGCGTGGATCCAAGAGACTGAACCCTCAGCAGCCTCCACCTACCTTGGTTAGTACAGGCCTGAGCAGGATGAGCCTCAAGGAGAGGACCAGGGTCTGCAGATTGAGAGATCTGGGATACAGTCATGAGGGGTTTGTTCTCAGCTCTTCCTCTTCGGAGTCATGAAAATTTGTCCATGATTTGGCCAAGATTTTTTAAAAATTATACTAAAAAATGAATCTTCTAAGCCAGATAAGCCAGATATTATCAGTGCCATGAATTTAGGGACTCGGGGAAGAGCTAAAGTGCTCAACTTTTTGCTGCTTGCTCTAAAATTTAAGTTATTGTGAAAGACCTTGACTGGGCAGTCATGGTTAACGTTTGAGATACTAAGTGTGTTTGTGGAGACTGTTGTTGGTCTCCTTTTATAAACTAAATGAGCTGTTTATTACAAAAATAAAAAGGGTAAAGTAGCAGATAAAGAAGACATTAGTTCACCAGTGTCTGTGCCTGGACACTTACACTGAAATACAGAAAAGAAAGTGCACATAAATATAATGCGACTTTGTACACATGTACTGGGAGCAACTATGAGAGGCTGGACAATGAGAACAATGGAGGAGAACTTTGGGAAAATTTCCTAGAAAAGCCCAAGGTTTATCTGAAGGCACAGGGAGTTTCTGGAGAGATATTTTGAATAAAAGCTACTGGAAAAGAAAGTTTGAAGGGAAAGGAGGTAAAGCATAGTTAGGAGACAAGGAGGATAAAGCAGAGAAAATAAATTGGGGATCTTAGAAGGTGGAAGAAATTTCCAGTAGGTAGTATTTATTGTGTGCTTGTTAGTGCTAGGCAATAAATGAGGCACTTTTTATAAGTTATTTCTAATAATTACAAATAAGCCTTCAAACCTGTCATAGTGTGCCTTTTTCATGGCACAATGAAAAAATAAAAATCTATATTTAGAGGAATTAGTAACTTTCTAAACTCTATAGAAATTAAAGAGTATCAGTTCCTGCTTTGTACACCACAATATTCTGAAAGGAAGTGTGTACATAATGTTGGGCACTTGAGTTAAGAAGCAACTTGCCTTTTGACCTATATTCTAATGAAAATAGTGATGTGTTTATTATCTTTTGTATAGTAATGAATTGAAATTTCTTAGTAGAAAGAGGCAAGGGGAGGAACACAGATGAGTAGAATTAATTGAGACAGATGGCACAAATTTAAAGATGCCCACCCAGTGATTAGAATGTCAAAGGAGGAATTTGTACGATGAAGAATTCTGAAAAAGTGAAGTCCACTACTTCCATACACCAGAATAATCACAAACTATGAAATTTCTTCCCTTTGTAGGCAAGGACCTGATTGCCTCCAAGAATCTTCTGAACAGGCACCAAGTCATCCTGGAAGACATTGCCAGTCATGATCCACGCATCCGAGTGATAACAGAGAGGGGAAACAAAATGGTAGAGGAAGGTACATTTGATTTAGATTGCACTGGCCAAAGCCTCACTATGCCAGACCTCTGGGAAGAAGTTTGTACAATCTTAGGTCTTCAAGGGAATTTAAAAATAATTTAAAAAATTTAAAATCCATTTTCCCACTCAATTCCATTTGGCATTTTTGACAGGGGGAAATACAGCTTTGTACATTCCAGTCATAGGAATCATCCAATCTCATGAACCAGTCCTCTCTATTTTTTATAAAGCCAAAATTATTAGAATAAAATGTTTTTGCACTAAACATCATTATGCTTCTCTATAAAAGTTACAGAATTCAAAATCTAAGTTGTGAAACAAATCAGGTCCCTTTCCCATGTGGGAGCTTCCAGATTTGTGAAGATAGATCTTAGGTTTGCTGTGTCTTATTATCTTCATGGTGAACAGTGCCATTTCTTTACATTTCTCATTTTATATAGTTTTAATGCCTCTACTCACCCTGACCTTTCATGTTCAGACATCCCCACTGCATAAACATGATGCTTAGAATTGAACATCATAAACCAGATGTGGTATAAGCATGCAGATTGCATTGGGATTTTCCTTCTGTTAATTGAAGAGTCAATTGCTGTCAACCAGTATCCATAT